ACTGTGAAAGGAACAGTTACGATGCGTTAATGGGTGCAGTGGAAAGACGTTATGGTAGCGAGCACCGGAGACAGATTTACCAGATGGAACTGGAGAATCGCTGCCAGAAATCCAATGAGACTTTACAGGAATTCGGCTCTGAGGTTGAAAGGTTGGCTCATTTGGCAATAGGAGATGCATCTGGTGAGCACCTCGAAAGAGTAAAAATCCAGAGGTTCATCAACGGAATGCGGGACGTGTATACCAAGCGAGAGACGTACGCGAATCCCAAGCCAACATTTACTGAAACTGTCTCGTATGCTCAGACGCGTGAAACGGCGGCGCTCCTAAGTAGACCAGCCTACAAAGCACATCGCGTGGAAGTGGAAACACCGGACGAGACAAATGAAATGCTGAAGAAGATTATCCAACTGCTGGGCGAGAAAAAGCATGGCTCTGGCAAATGTTTTAAATGTGGAAAGCCAGGCCACTTCGCCCGCGATTGCAGCGCAAGCTCCAGTGCGCTCAACAATTCAGCAGGACGCAAACGCAGGACTGAAGGAGACGAATCCAACTCCAGTCAGTCGTTAAACTAAAACGAGCCAGCAGCAAGGGGCGTGCGCTGGCTCCCGCAATTGAATGCCCCATAATCTCCGTCTCGCGAATTGGCAGAAAGGCGAGCAACGTTACTGTTGGTGGATATGTGGACGGACATGAGCGAGTACTAACTGTGGATACGGGCGCATCACATTCCATCATTCGATCTGATTTGGTCACTAAAGAGGTAAGGCCATTACCTGGAGCAAGGTTGAGGACAGCAACTGGTGAGGACACCCAAGTTGTAGGAGAGGTAACATGCAAAGTCGCAATAGGGAATGTGACGGTGTTACACAAGTTCATTATCGCGGCGATTATGGATGAGGTCATCATTGGATTAGACTTTTTATTTGGTCAAGGTATGAAGATCGACATGAAGAACAGGATCATGACGTACGACAACATGGAAGTGCCCCTTAGGTTTGGGTATGATGGTCCGTACAGCAGCAAGCGAGTGATCCTAGAGGAAAGCGAGCAGATTCCACCGAAGTCAGAAGCAGTTGTGTGGGCAAAGATTGATGGAGATTGTGGGACAAACAAATTGTGGGTTGTTGAAGCAACACAAAATTCTACACCGGACGTACTTATTGGTAAAACCCTGGCTAAGACGCAAAAGGATGGACGCATCCCAGTTCGAGTGCTCAATGAGTTCAAATCACCAGTCAAACTCCGAAGAGGAACTGTACTGGGGCAATGTCGAGAGGTAGAGGCAATCTTCAACTGCGAAAAATTACCTGAAAGCGATTCCATTGGCGAGAATGACATTGCGGAAGACATTAATGCATGGACGGAAGGGTTGGAAGAAAAATGCCAGCACAAGGCTAAGGAATTTCTCCGAAGATACTGCAACATATTCGACAAGGATGGCGGCAAACCAGGCAGGACTAACGTTGTGAAACATCGCATTGATACTGGCGATGCAAGGCCAATCCGTCAAGCTCCTCGGAGTGTTCCACTTGCCAAACGTGAAACTGTTAGCCAAATAATAAAAGAAATGAGCGAGAGTGGTGTGATTGAACCATCAGCGAGTCCATGGAGTTCGCCGGTAGTACTTGTGAAGAAGAAGGATGGTCAAATGCGGTTCTGCGTAGACTACCGGAAACTAAACGATGTGACGAAAAAGGACAGCTATCCTCTTCCCAGGATCGATGACACTCTGGACTCGTTGACTGGCAAGTGGAGGTACGTGACGAGGATAAGGAGAAGACAGCTTTCAGCGTTGGAGACGGTCTGTGGCAATTCACGGTGATGCCCTTTGGATTATGCAACGCTCCTGCCACTTTTGAAGGACTTATGGACCATGTGCTCAAAGGACTGCATTGGAAAACATGTTTGGTGTATCTAGACGACATTATCGTATTGGGTAAAAGCTTTGAGGAACACCTGAACAATTTGGAAGAAGTTTTCCAGAGGATAGCTGGCGCTGGTCTGAAGCTAAGTCCTAAAAAGTGCTCACTGTTCAGGAAGGAGGTGAACTACTTAGGGCACAAGGTGACAACGGAGGGCATCTGTGCTGCGAAGGAAAAGATTGAAGCAGTAAAGGATTGGCCAAGACCTAGGAACATTTCCACAAACATTTCCACAAGTACCTCTATGGGCAACGTTTCCGAGTTCGAACGGACCATGCAGCGCTGAAGTGGCTACTACAGTTTAAGAATACAGAAGGACAGCTAGCTCGGTGGATTGAGAGACTGCAAAGTTATGACTTCGCTATTGAGCACCGCAAGGGAAGTGTCCACGGTAATGCTGATGCCATGTCCCGCCGACCATGTAGCCTGGAATGTAAACACTGCTCAAAAGCTGAGGGAAAAGAGGACATTATAGACGTCCGTCTAACGACAATAACACCAGCGGAAGAGTGGAAGGAAGAACAGCTACGAAAGTGTCAGCAGGAAGATCCAGATCTGGAGCTTTTGATGCATGGACTGGAGGTGGACAGGAGGCCAACTAAGGAGCAAATGGCAGCGGAAAGCCCCATCGCAAAGGCGTACTGGGCACAATGGAACAGCTTAAAATTAATATCTGGCTGTTTGCATAGGGTATGGGAAAGCGAAGATGGCCAGTGCTCCCGCAACCTGATAGTAGTTCCAAGGGTAAGAATTCCGGATGTACTCAAGGAATTCCACAATGGTCCTAGTGGAGGGCACCTGGGAATCACGAAGACCCTGGAGAAGGTTAAGCAGAGGTTCTATTGGGTTGGTTGTCGGCAATCGGTCGCAGAGTGGATTGCTAACTGCGCGGAGTGTATTGCAGCTAAAGGGCCGAAATCCAGAAGTCATGGCCAGATGAAGCAATATAACTCAGGTGCACCTTTCGAGCGGATTGCCATGGATGTAGCCGGTCCATTTCCTATGAGCGCACAGGGAAACAAATACGTCCTTGTGGTTATGGACTACTTTAGCAAATGGCCGGAGGTATACCCGATTCCAAACCAGGAAGCTAAAACAGTAGCGGAGGTATTCACCTACAATTGGGTTGCGAGATACGGTGTACCTATAGAGCTGCACTCTGACCTCGGAAGAAATTTTGAGTCGGCAGTGTTCCAAGAGATGTGCCAGATACTGGGTATCCGGAAAACTCGAACGACGGCTCTTCATCCCCAATCAGACGGCATGGTGGAACGGTTCAACCGAACCCTGGAAGAGCATTTGCGGAAGGTCGTGGACAAGAATCAAAAAGATTGGGATGTCCGCATACCCTTGTTCCTGATGGGATACCGGTCAGCAGTGCATGAAACAACGGGTAAAACTCCTGCAAGGGTAATATTCGGCAGTGAGCTCCGTTTGCCTAGTGATCTGAAGTTTGGGGTGACTGGTGATGCTAGAAGGATTGGAAAAGAGACGTCAAACATCCTGGAAGAGGAGCTGAGAGAGATACATGCTCTTGTGAGACAGCGCACACAAATTATGAGTGACAAGATGAAAGCCAGGTATGATAAGGCGATGAATTCCGAGGGTTTCCAGGAAGGAGATTTGGTGTTGCTGTACAATCCACAACGAAAGAAAGGTTTGTCCCCAAAACTACAATGTAGCTGGGAAGGTCCGTATATGGTCGTAAAACGGCTAAATGACGTAGTGTATCGGATCCAGACCGTTGGGAGACCAAGAAACAAGATGAAGGTGGTCCACTTGGAAAGGCTTGCAGCGTTTGGAACCGCAAGTGTGTCTGATCGGGACGATCAGACTTAGGTGGAGGGCAGTGTGGCGAATACTGCGGCAACACAAAGCGAACAACGAGAAATAGGCAGAATGACGTAGAATGTTCCACAAAGAGAAACGTCAAGTTGGATGAACACTGCGAACAGCTAGGGAAAGAGAATGAGCGATAAACTTCAGAATGTTCTAGAGTTGCCATAAGTGCCAGCGCAGGTATATAAGGGCGCCGCCACCGCGAAATGAGTTAGTTACAAGACAGCAAGCTAAAAGTAAAGTGAGCAAAGAAGTGAGTTGCGAATAAGCAAGATATAAGTTTAATTGTGTTACCAAGTTTAGTTAAGCGCTGTTATTGCTTTAACAAGTATTGTAAAGTGTTTTTACTGTATTAGCGAGTATTGTAAATTGTTTGTTGTACAATAAAGTTAATTGTACTACAATTTGGTCATCGATTGCATTTATTTAACAATCCAGCGATAGGAACCGAGAGATTTGGGAAATCCGGACGAGGTTTCAAGGATAATCGTAACAATACTAACCCGATGGCACTACAAAGGCTGTATACTGAATACATTCTTCTGCTACATTTATTTGGTGAAACCCATTTTCCAAATCTAACGTTGAAAAAAAAATATATCCCTCCATTCTCTCGATACAGTCATCAATGTGAGGCATCGGAAAACTGTTACGAACCATAACTTTATTCAAAGGCTTATAGTCCACACACATTCGCTTAGTGCCATTCCTTTTTGGGGAATGCATATGGAGAATTGCTATGCCTGATTACACCCTTTGCAAGCAATTCGTCAATAGTTCTGTCAACAATTTGCTTGTCAGCGTAAGAAATTCGTCTAGGTCGGAAACTTATAGGAATGTCGGAGGTCAACTTTATATACATTTAATTTAATATTTAATTATTTTCTGAATATCTTCACGATGGAAAAGGTTAAGTTTGGGGTTAATATCAAAAGAGTCTGAAGATGGTACACAAAAATTAATGTTCGTAATATCAGAAGCCATACGATCGATATTGTTATCAAATCTGCCGAAATTCTCCAATCCTACTGAAGCCACGAAATCACAGTCAACAATGCACGCACTCGGTATACATCCACACAATTCGCATTCAGAATAGTCAAAATTCTCATCACTAAAAGAACTGTACACACAATGCAAGGCTTGTTCCGAAATTCTTATTTCATCCCGCTCGGGTTTATATTTAATCTCTACCTTTGGTTTAGGTATTAAATTTTCTGCTGCAATCATTAAACGTATTCCAAACATACGCATGAAAATACGGCCCAACAAAACTGAATATGACATCAAATTGTCCGGAATAATATACATTTTTATTTCTTTAGTAACATTTTTAAACTGAACTTTAACCAAAATTACACCATACGTGCAAATTTTAAATCGTTCGAGCCCCTCATATCCGGAATATTTCATGTCACTTCGCATTAGTTGCCTTGGGACCGCTGAATGCTTCACCAAACTAATTGGACTATCTGAATCGAGAAGAGAAACCAAACTCTTACTTATGTGCACAGAACCATCAGTCAGAAAAGTAACACTCACCTTATTAAGCT